GTGTGTGTGTATGTGTATGTGCCCGTGTCATGGCCCACGTGTGGAGTTAGAGGACAACTTGTGAGAGCTGATTCTCTTCTTCTACCACATGGGTCCTGGGGATAGAACTCAGGTCATCAGGCATGGTAGCAGGTATCTTTACTGCTGAGTCATCCTGCTAGCCCCACTAACTGATCTTTTATGTCTTATAGAGTTTATAATGAGTAAAAGATTATATAAGCGTAATAATTCATCTGTAAACCTAGAAATGTACAGCCAATTTTGAAAGAGATGTACCCTAGCTCAGAAAAATGTTATTGAATAGGTTAATGCTGTTGTAATGAAATGCTTCTTTTAATTAAAATAAAAAAAAAACTGAAAAAAAATAGAAGATTATACAGGTGATGGACAAGTTCACTCATTAAAATTAAATATTGAACTACAACATCTCTAAATATTTCTATTGAACCAGAGAGTTAAAATCCTAGCCTTGGATTATTTACTTTCAAGATTTTCAAACTTGTATTTGAGATGCTTTGTACTTTGACAAAAAATATACAAAAATTTCTATAAAATGTATGCTGTATTAGCAGGAATATATCAGTTTTTGTGAAAGTTATATCCTAATTCTAATGGATTATCTTAAAAATCATTCAATTCTTGTTCTAAAATGGTGGATAAATTTGTTTTATCCCCCTTTCTAGAAGCCTTTGAGAGGGAACTGACACTGATTCTAACCACTCCACGAGCTATCAAAGTACCTGAAAGCAAACCCTGAATTCATCACTCTAGAGTCCAGCCTTGGAAGACAAAAATCAAAATGAGGTCCCCCAATAGAGGGATGCTTTTGGAAGTCCTTTTCAAGAAATTCTGATAGACTCATATGAACATTTCAAAATTGACCTGTCTGTCTTTTTCCTGATTCTATGGCTAGAGCTTGTAATTCTAATTACTCTTGCTTAATTTACTTCTCATTCACATCTCCTATTCACAATTCAAGGACTTTCTTTTCCCCTTAGAGAGAAGAGTTATGCAATTTGGAAGTCTTTTACATAGACCCACTTCAGGGGTATGCCAATTCCCTCAACGTGAGTCCCTGTTCAGTATGGAAGAAGCCAGATCAGTGTGCATCCCTATTCCTTAATGGCAATTTGAGTAACCTCTTCAGAGGATGATGTGATAAGAATAGGAGGTAGGAATTGGTTAGGCAGTTAGGGTAAAAAGACCCGAAAGAAACATAGCCAGTTTCTGGCTAAAAATCAAAGGTCCTTGGGCCATTTAGCAACATACACTCTTCTAAATGCCAAAAATTTTGAAAGTATTTGGGAGCTTGTATTGAATCCTTAAAAGATTTTAGGGTTACCTCTTCAGAGGGGGGGAATGTTAGAGTAGCCAAAAGCCCTGTAAAACTAAATAAAGATGAAGAAAGAGTACATGAAGTTATCAGAAAAAAGTGATGGGGAGATATGAGAGGAGTTAGAGGGGAGGGAGTGGGAATATAATTGATCAAAATACCTTATGTGCATGTATGACAGTCTCAATAAATTATTTATTTAAAAAAAAATCTCAAAACAGGCTGCCAGGTGTCATGGTCCATGCCTTTAATCCCAGCAGAGGCAGGTGAATTTCTATAAGACTGAGGCCAGCCTGCTCTACCTAGTGTGTTCCAGGCTGGCCAGCTGGAGATATGGGAGATGGCACATTTGTAAACCCATTGTTGGGGCGACAGAGACAGAAGAATCCCTGGAACTCACTGATGAGTTTGTCTAACCAATACCATATAGCCTCTGCATGCACCTGTAAGCACACATGCACATACATATGAACACATGTGCACTCCATACACACATACAAATAAAAAGAAAGTTAGGTCTCTTGGGATAAGTCAAGAGTGCCTGGAATGTAGGGCATGGCTGCCAGGCCAGATACCTCCTAGTGAGGACAGCAAGAAGCTGGCCTACTCAATTATAGGGACACTGTCTCTTACCCAACAATCCCCAAGTAAAACCATTAAGCCTCTAATCCTTTAATCCTAACCTGGTCCCTTGTAGAGTATGAGACCAGAAGACAGAAAAAGGCCATGTGGCATTAGTAGCCCCCTCCCTCCCCTACCTGCCAGCCTGCTGGAGAACCCAACCCCAGCCTCTTTGCTAGTGAAGCTTTCCTATATAAACCTCTGCTTTTGCCATAATAAATGAGCTGTCCACTGACACGGGCCTCCTGGGTGTTTCTATCCATGTACGCCTGCCCAAGGCCTCTCTACCGGCACTGGTCTCTCTCCTCGCCCTGACTTCCCATGATGGGGGCTGGTGTCCATGGCCTCCCCTTAGCAGTGGGGTTTGGGCAGACAAGGTTAAGTTTTCTTATATTAATTTTTTTTTGTTGTTGAAATAGAGTCTCATTATGTTGCCCAGGCATCTCCTGGGTTCATGCAATCCTGGCACCTCAGCTTCCCAAATACTTGGGCACACCCACCCACCACACTCAGCTTTAAGCAACTTTTTAAAAAGTTTTTAGCTCACATTTACCTGGCATGGGAGATACCATGATCACAAAAGAGGTTTGCCCAGGGCGAGGCTTATCCGTTGCACTCAGGATGTGCTGAACCCTGCGATTTACCCCAATGCAGGAAACTCAACTGCATAATTTGTGGCAGTGGAGGGAGTGTTTTTGAGCACATGCCCTTAAGTTAAAAAAAAAAAAGTTTTTAGCAGCTTATGGTATCCATTTTGTTGTGAGAACATTACTACCCAAGTCACCCCAAGGTAAAACTCCCACCTTTGGAGTTTTTTAAAGTTTGTTCTTTTTTGCATTATTGAAGTTTGAACCTAGGGTCTCATCCACCCTAAGCAAGTGCTTCACCGCTGAGCTATCTCCTTGTCCCTCTTTTGTTTTTCTAAAACAAGGTCTCACTATACATCATGAATTGGCCTTAAACTCTTCTTAAAAAATATGTGCATGAGTGATTACCTGTATAACTATATGTATCACATGTGTTTCAGGTGCCTGCGGGGCCAGAAGACATCACAAAATCCTAGAGCTGGATTTGCAGATGGTTGTGAACTGACATGGGGGGGCTGAGAACTGAACCAGAATCCTCTGTAAGACAACAAGAATTCCTGACTGCTGAGCCATCTCTCCAGCCCCAGCCTTAAACTCTTGATCCTCTTGCTTCAGCCTCCAAATTGCTGGAGTCACAGGCATGCACACCATATCCTGCCTTAAAACAAATTCAATAAGAAAAAAAAATAGTTGTTAATATGGACAAAGAGTGTCAATCTTTTCTTGATTGACCACTCTTTTTTTTTGTCCAGCTATTTCTGAGTGAAACATTAAAAAATTTAAAGGCAATTTTATCACTGTTACTAAACCTAGAAATAGCCTTTCTCTGGAGCTAGAGAGATAGCTCAATAGTTAAGAGCACTGGCTGCTCTTGCAGAGGACCCAGGTTTGGTTGCCAGCACCCACATGGTGGCTAATACCTGTCTGTTATTCCAGTTCTGGGGGATCCAACACACTCTTCTGACCTGTGCGGGCATTGCATGACATGATGCACTTACATACACAATACACATAAAATTAAAATAAAAATAAATTAAAAAATAAAAATCATTCATTTCTAATTCACTTGCATATTTAGATGCCATGTAATAATGGTACCCTGAAATGTCTCCATTTACTTCCTAAGTAGAAAATAACTCTCCATATCATTTATATGATATTTAAATAGCTTTAATTGGACTTGATGAACTTTGAATTCTGAAACCCATACACACATCCATGGACAGAAGCCTATTGCACCTAACCCTGAACTTTTGAACTGGTGAAGAGAACGATTTTATTGCAATGTTCTCAGAGAAAGAAAGATAGCTGCTTTTGATCCCCCTGGGCTTTGTATATGTAATAGTTTTCTTGCAACAACTGTGGACTGTGTTCTCATAATCCTTATTTTTGACTAATACCATTTTAACATTTAGGCAAATCAAAGAACTAGTACTTCTTTGATCATAGAATTATGGTAACTCCATATTTCATAAATAATATGCTTGTAACTTTAAAGTTCTTTTGATAATTATTAATAAAATGTTTGTATTGTTTATTTTAAATATTGGAGACATCTCTTAAGGGTAGTTATCGGCCATTACATATATAAAACTAGAATAATCAACAATATAAATTTTGGTCTTGTCACTCCTAAAAATACTGTCATATCTCTAATAATGATCTGTATTCATAAATAATTATGTCATTATTTTATAGCATATAAGCAATAAACAGTTTAAATATAGTCATTTTGTATCAGTGTATGTATTAGTTACTCTTCTGTTGCTGTGTTAGAAACCCTAACCAAAGCAACTTATAGAAAAGTTTATTTGAGCTGATGGTTTGAAAGGGGCAAGAGTCCATCATGGAGGGGAGGTATGGCTACAAAGGCGGCTGGAGGAAGACCAGAAGCTAAAGTCTCATATCTTCAAGCAGGCACAGGAAGCAAGAGAACAACTCAAGATACAGCAAGGCTTAAAAACTCAGTCACGTACTTCCTCTAGCATAGCCACACCTTCTAAGACCTCTACAAACAGCTCCACCAACTGGAGAAAAATGTCCAAATACTTGAACCCTAATGGGGGCATTCTCATTCAAACCATCATAGAGTTATAATTCAAATCAAAATTTCTTTAAAAATATAGATAAGTATCAACAAAGATTAACATATCACACTTGAGCAGGATCTATGTATAGTTGTATTATTAACAGCACTATACTAACTAAAATTATTACTAAATTAT